TTTTCATTGCAAGAGTTTGTTAACCGCGTATCAAGATTTGAGGCTGTATTTATGTAAGTAAATTATTAATGATTAAATAAATATTTTATGGGAATTTCAATTTTTATACTAATATTACAACATAATTAAATTACCCTAAACAAGTATAAGTCCTTATGTGCGTATAAAGTACATACCTACGCGATTTTTTTGAGAAATGATTTTTAGTGGATTTTAACTGGGGTTTCTTAAATTTCACCTCCAATTGATAAATACGTGGATTATAATATAAATAACATTTCATAGGAAATAGACATCCACATTTTTCGCAAAACTTTTATTTTATTTTTAGAGGCACCATCTATGTATGTAACATGATTATTTCTACAGGGTGTGTTTCTTAACATTTTTATTTCTGACAAATATTTATACGTTCCTGTACGAAGGACGAGACAACTAAATATAGTACATCCTTCGACCTTATGTCTTAGAGTTGGTGGCGGCATTCACGTTGTGATTTTCAGGGGCTCAAAATACCAGTCTTGCTGGTGGAGAACCTAGGAGGCGACTAAAGCAAGCCTTTTGACGACTACTGGGAAACAACTTTTACCTTTAGTTATCTATCATTGTTCCAAAAATAAAATAATGTAGCAAGAATCAGATTTTTTAATCTTTATACAAAAATCAAGTATTGCTGAAGCGCAGTTTCTTTATTACCGCATTGTCAGTCCTTGTGTCTTGTGGCAACACTTTTGTTGATATTGATAAGGCACGTAGCTTCTAGCGCTGTATATTTTAGAATTTATCTCGAAATATACTTATCAACGATTTTTTCCTAACGCTGTCTAAGCACTCGTCCTTTGGAAGCGGTGTGGTCTTTAGTGACAGCCGAGCCCGGATGAACTACTGAACTGTATTTTTTTTGTTCAGGAGGAAATCGCCGGACTTTCGCCCTCCACTGGGGATGGGGGTGGAGTCGAACTGACTAAAACCTCCTGTCGCTCAACAACCAACGTCCAAACCTCGCATGAGACATAACTCACGAAAAGGCAAAGGGGGGAAAGTGAAGCGTTTAGTGCGGAGCACATCTCTTCCATCACCCTCCCCCCTGGGGACGCCGGACCAGTGGTAATCAGCGCCACGACCACCAGCCCTCTCGGACAGATCCTAATGATACAATAAATCCTGGTAACTAAATAACAATCGAACAAAACCCTTCTCTGCGCAACTGTGCCAGACTACGGCAACTGTACCGGACTATGGCTGTCCATCCGAATTACTCACGATCGAATTCGCACGTTTCTCATTGCGATTCCGCGCGGTCGTACCGTGCAAGTCCCGGGCGACAAGCGCCGCGCTCTTGCGACACCACGCGACATCGCGTCGCACGGATTTATTGTAACGAGGTTTATTCGCGATTCAAACAACGCTCCAACAATTAGATTACGCAAGTATCCGCTCACGTATACAACTACAAAACTAATATCATGTGCGCGATTTTTTTTAATTACATAAGCTGCAAAAATGCTTATATTACCGCGTTGTCTTGCGTCAAACACTATTAGAGTCATACTGCGCTCCGGTTACACTGTCACTATTATGCGTATTTCTCCCGCTAATATTATCCTCATTCGTCCTGCCCATCGCCCGTGATAGCCTACAAAGCTAATAAAGTAACATCTCATGTTAGGAAATTACTCCGTCAGAGAAAAGTTGAAGTCGTCGTGGCTTAAAGAATAAGACGTCCGTTGCATTCGTGTTGAGCGATGCACCGGTTTTCGAATCCCAGGCGGGTACCAATTTTTCTAATGAAATACGTACTCAACAAATATTCACGATTGACTTCCATGATGAAGGAATAACATCGTGTAATAAAAATCAAACCCGAAAAATTATAATTTGCGTAATTACTGGTGGTAAGACCTCTAGTGAGGCCGCACGGATAGGTACCACCACCCTGCCTATTTCTACCGTGAAGAAGTAATTCGTTTCGGTTTGAAGGGCGGGGCAGCCGTTGTAACTATACAGGAGACCTTAGAGCTTATATCTCAAGGTGGGTGGCGCATTTATGTTGTAGATGTCTATGGGTTCCAGTAACCACTTAACACCAGGTGGGCTGTGAACTCGTCCACCCATCTAAGAAATAAAAAAAACAGGCGATCAAATGTCGAACAAGTTTTTCATTTATATTCCTTTAAAACTATAATCTATATATTAATACGTGAAGAAAATACTTTTTACCCCTTTTTACGAAAATAATGAGGACGGAGGAGTATGAAATTTCCCACACTTATAGAAAATATAGAAACGGAGTACAGAATTCTAATATTTCTTTAAAATTATGAAGAAAAATACATTACACACACTACCATGTGTTTGACACACACACGCATTTATACTCTTTTGTTAGTCTGTTGGCAAATTGAGAATAGGTTAATATTGTTTGTCTTTAATATTATTTGTCTAGTGTAATCTTGGCCAAATATGTGATTAGAAGTATAATAGTTTTTGACAATAGAACCATAATAATGTTCAAACTTATAATTTCAATTATTATGTGAATATAGTTTAAAATAAAACTATATTCACTGGTTGATAGTTAAATACGAACGTCAACAATGTCAGGACTACGTCAATGTCAAAATACTGACGACTTAGCAACCATTTAGCAACTAGTATATAACTATTATAGTATTGTTAATTTTATTTCTTACATAACGAGGGTCGTTTTTTTATTGCCATCACCAACAGGCGAGCCTGCGACCCTACGACCAAATCGTAAGCGGTTACAAGCATTGCTTGCTAAGGGCTCCACTGGAATGTAATTTTATTCTAGAACCTTCGCTACGTGACGACAACAATCTCTAGAAATTCAAAGTGCATGAACCCAATAGTTTCAGGAAGAAGAGATGAACTTTGATTATCGCGGTGCGATGGTAAAAAGGAATAACGGATCTGTTCCCACAAATTTCTCAAAGCACTCCCTATAGACCATATGGTGCAATATAGAAAATGAACTAAAGCCCATCCGTAGATCCAGAGGCTTCAAACAGCCGCGTGCTCAGGATTACCGACAATCCGAGCAACCAGAGAAAGAATCAACACTGCCAGCGAAGAAAGACCCGTGTACTGTAGTGGAGCTCGACGACCATAACTCCAATCCTATAGTATCTCTCCATAAAAGACGAGCGACGTCGCAGTTTGAGCCCCGAGAGCTCACCTACATGTTAGGGCTATCAGCATAGGTAGGAGAAAAAAAGACGATAAGTAGACAGGCTTCCGACCAGAAATTCATCATATCCTTCGAACCCAAATATGCCTATAGCTAAATCAGGCTTGGTAACAATCCGTGCTAGTTTATAACCAAGTCTACTGCCAGAAAGCAAATCTACATACAATCGAAAGATTGCGAGTCCATCTGTGTGTCTCTAGCGTCGTAAATGATTACACGGTATTGTGACCTAGATACTGCGCGGGTCTAATCGCAGAGCTATTGAGAACAATCATTGGGGCCGGCCGGCAATGTAAACCAATTCACCGCAGGTAGCGGTACGCATGTGCCACTGGTATTGCCAGTGCCCATAGACGACAGTGACAGCCCGGTGATTCGCTTGAAAAACTGCCTACTAAGGAGCAAGATGCTGTTAATAGAACATTCAGCGGACTGCCGCCACCCTCCTGCCCATTACTAGGCCGTAGTGTAGTAATGCGCACCGGTTTGAGGGTCGTGGTAGTTGTTATGCAACATATTTAAGATTTCGACCTCATATCTCAATTGGATGGCTGCATTTACGTTGTAATATCGCAATAATTTAAAGTCAATTGAGTCGTAAGCTCGCCACCTATCAGCACCTAAAACAAGAAAATGTCAAGCTCAGGAGCGCAGAGCTTTTCGCACTTGTTTCAAAAGTTGCATTATAAAGGAAAAAATCTAGTTTAATGATATTAAATAGAAATTAAGTATGAAATTCGAAAAGCCAGTTAAATAATAAACAAAAGTTTTTAGATTTCTTAAAACAGCCTATAATATGACAAATGGACCGCAACGTAATTATTTAAATAAAAATGGACAAACTTAGCCTCCACATTACCGGGACCAATAAATTAAATTATACTGCCACTAAAAGTAACAGTAAAGTGCTCAGCTGCGCGAATTATTTTTTTATGAAAATGGATATTGCTCATCCAAGACTTTCGTCTCTTCAAATGAGAAGCATGCAAGGATGTGACCGACCCACTAGCGCGAACCAAGAGACTGACTCACGCTGTCGGTTTTTGCGATTATGATACAACTGGTTTTTGCCTTTTTGTCGACGTTATGCAAAAAGATGCGAGTTGAGGTCATTGCGTCACTAATTAAAATTCTCCGAAGATCTACTGTTCAGCCTTCAGACGGCGATCGACGTGCTAGATTCCGTTCATCATAACACCGGTACATCAATCTTTATAACGCCATTCGTAATAATGCAACAATTAAACACGTTCCGTTACTTGCATTTGATTGTTCTAATTACACACTGTTTTGTATGCTATTTATATTACAGTAGGTTTATGAAATGGAATTGTGTTCATAAAACGTATCATACTCATAAAAGGTGGACGATTTTCCTTAAGTTGACTTTTTTAAACTTGTTTTTAAGTAAAGACGTTGTGGTTATTTCCGAACGAAGATTTCTCGCGAAAAAGCCCTATCCGTGACCCGAAATGCTGTGGTTTCCGCACAAACCAGATTCCGATGGACCACTGAGTCAACAGTCAACCAACCTTAATGTCATTTCGTGACCTCTCATTCAGTTTGTTCAGATTAAGCAAATATCCAGCGTCGAGACGCGTCGAAGGCGGCCCGTCCCGTCGTATACCGTAACAGATACCGTTTTACACGACAAACATGCGATTTCGGGTCAATAAAGCTAACCCTACAAAAATCCACGGATTCACGGGACGCGGCGGATTTCCCGGAGGAAAATTAGACCGTCTGTGCCACGGTCGTTATTTTAATAACAGAACAATATAATACATACCTTATCATGATGTTTTGTAATGGAATTGGTATTCGAAGAGATTGGAGCGTACAATTCACAGCACTGCACGATTTTCAGTTAGCGCGTGGCCGCCATAACGTGCGTCCGCAGCGGTGGGTGGAACGCGAGTGTCGCAGCCCGCAGACCGCCGTGGGACCAGCGGCTGCGGAGCTGCCCTCCAACCCGCCATACTCGCTTCGTCCTTCAGTGCATCACTTGACGATTTAGTGGTGACTACTGGCAACGCGCTGCCCTATTCCGCGGAGATTTGCCCTAACAAACTTTATATTAACATTGAATCAATCTGGAAGCTTTCACACAAATAAACAAAGATAGTTGCATGTATGGGTAACCCAGCCTACAGATTATCTGAATGGTTCATAGACATCACATCGTGAATTTTCCCACCGGTATTTGAAACATGAGGGCGAAGTCTCTACCGTATTTTATATACACATAACTTCATAACCCCCTTCCCACTTATTTTTCTATAAGTAGGCATTGCATTAAAGTTATAATCTCTATACCTATATAAAAATGAATTTCTGTTCGTTAGTCTCGCTAAAACTCGAGAACGGCTGGACCGATTTGGCTAATTTTGGTCTTGAATTATTCGTGGAAGGAAAATTTAAAAAAGCTCGGAATTATATAAAAACAAACAATTTTGTTTTTCCTTTAACGTGTCCCCTTGATGTGTCTTTTATTTATCGATTGAGGCACTACGAAGTCTGCCTGGTCAGCTAGTTGCTAATAAATATCATCACTTAACATTGCTAGATGGACAACACGTAAGCAAGTCCACTGATCTAAGCCAAAATCTAGAATGTTGTTTTTTTAAGCATTTAAGTGTAGCAATCTAGGACTTTTCGCTGATTTTGTAAATGAAAATAATATTAGCTGCGTAGCTAGAACAAAATCAATACCGCGGTGATTGATATATACGTTCAACAAACTCACTCAGACCAGGGCTCAACGCCCCCTCCCGTGGTCCAGCATTCACGTCCCCTAATCATTAGAGCATCGAGACATTTAAATCTTGCAGTCTCTTATTTCTTGCTGACAAACGATAGAACAATACTTAATGCATTCATTTCAAAAAGGATGTTTTTCATTACAGATATAGCCATTTATGAAAAAAACTAAAAACGATCTGACATCGATGCTTTCGTATCTCCTTGATGGTAGAGTAGCCGAAGTCGTTTTCATTTGTGTTCCATTTTGAAATATGTTTATGGATGTAAAGGCAAACGTACTCATGGCTCTGACATTAGAGCTCATAAATGTAACGAGATGAAGACCGAGCCTTACTCGGTTTTTTTTAAAAAGGCCATCTTGTTGTGTCTTTAAAGCGGTTAGTTGCCCTCAATTAAGAAAAATAGTATTATTATTCGCCAATAGATGTCGGGAAGAATTGATTATTGAAAATACGAATAAAACAACATTTTCTGAAAATAAATCGTAGCTAGATCGATTTATCGCCCCCGAAATCTCCTATGTACTAAATTTTATGAAGTCTAGGCCCGATCTTAATCCGCTGGATTATGATTTATGGTCAGTTTTAGAGAGTACGGCTTGCTCTAAACGCCATGATAATTTGGAGTCCCTAAAACAATCTATACGACTGGCAGTGAAAAATTTTCCCATGGAAAGAGTGCGTGCTTCTATTGATAACTAGCATCAACGTTTAAATGACTGTATTGCAGCCAATGGAGACCACTTCGAATAAGCTTTTTATACTTTTTATGTATTAAACTAACACACTGTAAAAGTAATTAATGTTATTTGCCATAGATGTTTTTTTATTTTTAATTGTAACAGTATTTATGGCCAGACTAAGTATACATATATGTTAATATACAAGAATTGCTCGTTTAAAGGTATAAGATAACTATAATATCGCCGACATTGCGTCTTGCCGGGCTAACGTAGGCCCACTACACGAACTACCACCGGTATGTGGTTTCGGAGGATGCGATGCGCAGTCGAGTCAACGTGACTCAATTACCACAATCACATCGAGCTTAATGTTAATTCAATGACTCCAGCTACCAGTCACGCCGTGCCGCAGACAAATAAAATTTTTAATAAATGAAAACTTGACAGTGGTCTTGTGAAGAAATCACATTCATGAGTACGACTTTCCTCCATGAACCCTCGGCGTTACTCGGCGTTATGAAACTTCTTCAATCGGAGTTTAAGGTTTAAACATTTCAATGGAGACATAGTTGTGATCCGTTGCCAGTCCGATGACAGTCATTTTACAAAGATTTTTTGATCGCTTAGACAGGTAACCGGGGTCTCTGCCTATCTGATGTTCGGTAGTTCAGTTCAGTAGTAGTCAAACATTACTGCGTGATAGCCGCCACCCGCATTAAGATATCATGTTTAAGACTCAGTTATATAGTATAAGGTATGTCCCACCCTTTAAACTGAAACTTTACCGGGATAGAGGAATCTACCCGGGCGGGCTCACGAGACGCTCTGACCGCAGTGATTATGCAAATTATATATTTTACCGAGTTTGATTTTTACGACACGATATTGTTCATTCATCGTGGAAGACATGAAAATAAGTTAGCTGCTACGTATTTGATTAGAACCCCCTCCCCCCCGCCCTCATGGTCGCATCACTGGATATGAGTACAGCGAATGTCTTATTCGTTAGGCCACGACTTTTATATAGCTATTTGTCTGTATTATATTAATGCAATACTTCATCATGTTTCAAGAAGAAGCTTTCAAGGAGGGTTTCGTTAATCTCGGTATTTTATTCGCTTCGGTGAGCACTTCACGTCAGGTGACCTGGCTTCACTGCGAAAACCACGTCGAAAGCCGCGAAAGTTAATATTTATTTCATTCATGCGTTTTTTTTTCGGGCCTGGGCTGTACCTTCCAAGAGGTCCCCGCGCCTAGGGGGCGCTCGGGGATGTGGTACTTGACGACCTGCAAGGTGTTGGGAGCAGACCGCGGGCCCAAGGAATTTTAGCGCCCTACCGTAGTTTAACCCATTTAGTCGGAACTTTATACAACCATTATTGATACTGGGATAAAATTTAGGTATAACAGGATGGCGTTCTAGTCGCTCCGTGACCTGCGGGCTCAATGTAATATTTCGCGATAGACGCAGCTTAGCGCGGCTGAGTTTTACAACTACTAGGCATTATTAGATAAAGTTTGTACAAAATCGCTTTAAAAATGATGCGGTCAATTATTGATTTTCCCCGGTACTGCTAAGGCCGCGTTCAAAGTCAAGATGTAAAATATCAACGGACCGTGGCCCGACGGCGACAACTCAACCGGCACTGTGCCACAGAGGTGATTCACACGTTCCTATTGTTTTTATCGTAATTACATTTCATTGTTTGTTAAACCGATAAATTGGTGTTTTTTTTATTATTTCTGTTTAACAATTTATTGTTTACTTTAAGTTCTCAGATTTGTTAGTATTGATTTGACATGTGAGTGCAGAGTTAATAAACAGAATGAATCCTACTTTTCTACTGCAGCCTCGTTAATAAGTCGAAGACAGAGAAAATGGCTGGTAGACATTTTCATTATAACACTCAGGTTACTTTGGTATATTATAATGTTCATAGTATTTGAGATCATGCCATACTCGTACTTCGATTCACAAAAGTAATAGAATTACCAAAGAGATAGAATTATATTGTGCTCCTATGAAATATATGCCAGGGTAGAAACTTCTCGAAACATATCGCGACTGACTAGTGCAGCTCACCTAATGGTACCATGCATTAGAGCAATGACTATTCTATTTATCAACTACATCTTGACTTCGTGGCAAAAACAAGCAGGACCTTGTAACCAACCTGTGCTAGCCCTGCAACGCGTCCTACTCCAATTAATGGAGCACTAGTACCAATTACGTGCTCGCTGCTAGTAATTTCAGGGACGTGTCGTAAAACTGAAGTGGTTATTTTCGTTCGAGCATCAAGCGCATCATTCCGGTTCAGAGGAATATTCGTTTCACGGTCCGGTCCCGCTGGGTCGGGCTGCAGGGAGGGAATCAAGGTATTCTACGAATTTCCTATTATTCCTTAGGCTCTCTATACACCTCGTAAACCACTTAAAGCGAGATACAGATACGAATATATTAAATTTTTTTTTACGAGTGTTCATAATTACGTATCGAGTGCATTGCATCTAATATGCATTATGCATTATGGTTACGTAGTTTATAGCAAGGATAGAGATTGCGCTTAGATTGCATATATGATCAGTATTTAATAATAATTTATACACAGTAAGTACTTTTACGGGGTTTTACATAACTGAAGTCTGTCTAGATCCTAATCAGTTTGTTAACTCCAGCATCCTCAGATGGCTAATATATCCCCATCATCACGACCTCGACTTTAAAATGGCATTGACTTTGTGATGTCAGTCGTTTTTTATCTATCTGAATTCTTTAGAGCAATATAAATATTTTTAGAAAATATTATTAGAACATAAATATTCACCATTCTATCCTCGATCCACTGACCAACTTGGCTGATATTTTGGTTTAAGAAGCAAATATGCGTTCTGATCTGAAAAGCAATAAAGCTACTGTTCACGTGAAACGGAGACTTCAAACTTCTAAAGATGGACGGTAATGTGGTCTCTGCAGCTTTTTTCCCTTACCAAATCACTGTTAACTTAAGTGGCTATCGGCAGGGGTAGCATCCGACACGTCTACGCTAAAAAGAAATTTCAATATGAAGAAATAAGTATCTGTTGGAACCAGCCCTGGGTAATGCTATCCCATCCGGTCCAATGAGTGTGTTCCTATAATAAGTACACGCACACCCGCCTTTCATGTGTGCTAATTATAACGTACACCATATAATTCGCCAATGACCATAATCTTGCGTTGCTATAATTGGAGACAAACTAACTAGAGACAGAATGTCATGGAGATTTCGACCTCACGCCTCATGGTGCGCAGCGACTCTTACGGGCTGGTGTATTTTTCAAGTTGTAGACTAGTAGCTGAGTTCAGGGTCTAAATGATTTTAAGTGATTATGGGAAGCTATAATTATACTGTAACTATACTTGAGACCTTAGAGCTTATATCTCAAGGTGGGTGGCGCATTTATGTTGTAGATGTCTATGGACTCCAGTAACGACTTAACACCAGGTGGGCTGT